TGGAAGAACAAATATTGTTAAAATGTGGATACCACCCAAAGCAATCTACATATTCAACGCAATCCCTATCAAAATAACACCAGCATTCTTCATAGAGCTGGAACAAACAATTCTAAAATTTGTATGGAACCAAAAAAGACCCTGAATAGCCAAAGTAACGTTGAAAAAGAAAACCAAAGTTGGAGGCATCACAATTCCAAACTTCAAACTGCATTACAAAGCTGTAATCATCAAGACAGTATGGTACTGGCACAAAAACAGACACATAGATCAATGGAACAGAATAGAGAACCCAGAAATGGACCCACCAACGTATGGCCAACTAATCCTTGACAAAGCAGGAAAGAATATCCAATGGAATGAAGACAGCCTCTTCAGCAAGTGGTGCTGGGAAAACTGGACAGTGACCTGCAGAAGAATGAACCTGGACCACTTTCTTACACCATACCCCAAAATAAACTCAAAACGGATGAAAGACCTAAACGTAAAATAGGAAGCCATCAAAATCTTAGAGGAGAAAACAGGCAACAACCTCTTTGACCTCGGCTGCAGCAACGTCTTACTTGACATGTCTCCAGAGGCAATAGAAACAAAAGCAAAAATAAACTATTGGGACCTCATCATGATAAAAAGTTTCTGCATGATGAAGGAAACAATCAGCAAAACTAAAAGGCAGCCAATGGAATGGGAGAAGATATTCTCAAATGACATATCAGATAAAGGGTTAGTGTCTAAAATCTATAAAGAACTTATCAAGCTCAACACCCAAAAAAACAAATAATCCAGTGAAGAAACGAGCAAAAGACGTGAATAGACACTTTTCCAAAGCAGACATCCAAATAGCTAACAGACACATGAAAAGATGCTCAACATCACTCATCATCAGGGAAATATAAACCAAAACCCCAAGGAGATACCACCTCAAACTTGTCAGAATGGCTAAAATGAATAACTCAGGCAACAACAGATGTTGATGAGGATGCGGAGAAGGAGGAACCCTTTTGCACTGCTGGTGGGAATGCAAACTGGTGCAGCCACTCTGGAAAACAGTATGGAGGTTCTTCAAAAAACTAAAAATAGAACTAACCTATGACCCAGCAATTGCTCTACTAGGTATTTACCCAAGACATACAGGTGTGCTGTTTCGAAGGGACACATGCATGCCCATGTTTATAGCAGCACTATCGACAATAGCCAAAGGATGGAAAGAACCCAAATGTCCATCGACTGATGAATGGATAAAGAAGATGTGGTATACATATACAATGGAGTATTCCTCGGCAATCAAAAAGAATGACATCTTGCCATTTGCAACAATGTGGATGGAACTAGAGTATATTATGCTAAGTAATATAAGTCAGTCCGAGACAGACAAATATATGATTTCATTCATGTGGAAAGAAACAAAACAGAGGAACATAGGGGAAGGGAAGCAAAAATAAGATAAAAACATCAAGGGAGACAAACCATAAAAGACTCTTAAATACAGAGAACAAACAGGGTTCCTGGAGGAGTGTTGGGTGGGGTCATGGGCTAGATGGGTGAGGGGCATTAAGGAGGACACTTGTTGGGATGAGCACTGGGCGTTAGATGTAAGTGATGAATCACTGAATTCTATTCCTGAAATCATTATTACACTACATGTTAACTAACTTGGATGTAAATTTTAAAAATCTATGGGGCCCCTGGGTGGCTCAGTTGGTTGAGGGTCTGACTTCAGCTCAGGTCATGACCTCACGGTTCATGAGTTCAAGCCCTACATTGGGCTCTGTGCTGACAGCTCAGAGCCTGGATCCTGCTTCAGATTCTGTGTTTCCCCTCTCTCTCAGCCCCTCCCCCGGCTCACACTCTGTCTCTCTGTCTCTCAAAAATGAATAAATGTTAAAAATAAATAAATTTTAAAAATCTAAAAAATAAATAAACAATCACATTGTATGCCTTAAGCTTACATAATGTTATATGTCAATTATATCTCAATAAAGCTGAGGAAATATATATATATATAATAGCTGATCAAATCACAGTCCACCCCACCACCCATTAAAATCTTCATTCATTTCCCACTGAATCAATATAAACCAAAACTCCTTGGCATGACCTTCGAAGCCCTGAATGCTATGATATACTTCTCGACCTCATTTCTTCTCAGAGCAGCCCCCACTGGCTTTATTTGAGTTTCTTGACCCACCAGACTCTTTTCTAAAGTCACATACTTTATGCAAATCCTCCTATAAGCCTCAGTTTAAATATCCTCAGGGAGCCCTTTCCTTACCACCCAGTTTTTGTTTTTGTTTTTTTTTAATTTTTAGTTATTTATTTTTGATTTTTTAACATTTCAATTCAGGTTAGTTAACATATAGTGTAATAATGATTTCAGGAACAGAATTTAGTGATTCATCACTTACATATAACACACAGTGCTCATCCCAACAAGTGCCCTCCTTAATGCCCCTCATCCATTTAGCCCATCCCCCCCACCCAACACTCCTCCAGGAATCCTCAGTTTGTTCTCTGTATTTAAGAGTCTCTCATGGTTTGTCTCCCTTGCTGTTTTTATCTTATTTTTGCTTCCCTTCCCCCATGTTCATCTGTTTTGTTTTTTAAAGCCCACGAGTGAAATCATATGGTATTTGTCCGTCCCCGACTTTCGCCTAGCATAATACATTTTAGTTCCACCCACATTGCTGCAAATGGCAAGATGTCATTCTTTTTGATTGCCGAGGAATATTCCATTGTATATATACCACATCTTCTTTATCCATTCATCCATCGATGGACATTTGGGCTCTTTCCATACCTTGGCTATTGCTGATAGTGCTGCTATAAACATTGGGGTGTGTGTGTCCCTTGGAAACAGCACACCTACATCCCTTGGAAAAATACCTAGTAGTGCAATTGCTGGGTCGTAGGGTAGTTCTATTTTTAACTTTTCGAGGACCCTCCATACTGTTTTCCAGAGTGGCTGCACCAGTTTGCACTCCCACCAGCAGTGCAACATCTCCACATCCTTGCCAACATCTGTTGTTGCGTGAGTTGTTCTTTTTAACCATTCTGACAGGTATGGGGTTCCTTAGCACCCAGTTTAAATTAGGTCTCCATTATTCACTCACTCACTAGCACTTGACAGTTTTCCCCTCTGAGGATATATCATAACTTGGAACTATAAGTTATTTGCTTAATGTTTATCCATCCTACTGGCTATGAGCTCCATGAAGGCAAGGACTGTTTGCATTTACCTCAGCACTTGGTGCACAAAAACTTTCAACAAACACTTGTTGATGAATGAGTAAATAATATGATGCCCAATTAAAGTTAGAGCAAGCCTGGGGCGCCTGGGTGGCTCAGTCAGTTAAGTGCCCGACTTCGGCTCAGGTCACGATCTTGCAGTTCATGGGTTCGAGCCCCGCATCGGGGTCTGTGCTGATGGCTCAGAGCCTGGAGCCTGTTTCGGATTCTGTGTCTCCCTCTCTCTCTGCCCCTCCCCCACTTGTGCTCTGTCTCCCTCTGTCTCAAAAATAAATAAACATTAACAAAATTTAAAAAAAAAGTTAGAGCGAGCCTACTAAAATTACGGTACAGGATTAGAAGAAAATAATCTCTGTTCCTATTATTTTTTGGTACAGTTTTCATGTCAATGTTGTTTGTGAGGCATCTCATTGCCAAATATTTGCCTTCTCTCAGACTAATAATATTGACTCTTGGTTGACTTGTAGACTTTTTAGAGTTAAAAACACTTTTAGAGCTGAAAGAAGCCTTATGGATGAAGAAACAGAGACGTTGTGGTCTGCCAAGGTTATACAGTTTGTGAATGGCACAGCTAGAATGGGACACCAGATCTTCTAATAACTGCCATGTCACTGATTTTTTTTTTTTTTTTTCACTAAAAGATAGCAAAGAGGAGCAGTAGAGAAGAGAGAGCACGGAATTAAAAATGCTAAGTAGGGGGCGCCTGGATGATTCAGTCGGTTCAGCATCCGACTTCAGCTCAGGTCATGATCTCACGGTTCATGGGTTCGAGCCCTACATGGGGCTCTCTGCTGACAGCTCAGAGCCTGGAGCCTGCTTCGGATTCTGTGTCTCCCTCTCTCTTTGCCCCTCCCCCACTCGTGCTCTGTCTCTCTCTCTCTCAAAAGTAAACATTTTTTAAAACTTTAAAAATGCTAAGTAAACTAATAAACATATTTTAGGATATTTACAATCTTTACACCTATAATATTTCACACTATATTCAGGTCTGTTTAGTAACCCTTGGTTTTACAGAGAAAGAATTTTTTCAGCTATTGTTTTACAATAATTGAACATTTTATTATTTTTAAACTCCCTGCAGGGGTCGGGGTGGGGGGGGCGCCTGGGTGGCCCATTTGGTTAAGCGTCCAACTCTGGATATTGGCTCAGGTCCTTCGATTCTATGGCTCCCTCGCTCTCTGCCCCTCCTCCGCTCACACACACACATTTGTGTGCATTCTCTCTCTCTCTCCCTCTCAAAATAAATAAATCAAGTTACAAAAAAACTACCTGTAGGAATATATAACACCTTTGTATATTTTAGAACATTTCTATATTCAAAAATTACTATGTGGATTGTATTATTATATTCCATCAAATATAAAGTAAGATATACTGTTATCTCACATAATACCAAGAAAAAATGCCTTCTTACCAATTAGAATTTTTACTTGAAATTTATTGAAAGAGCTATTTTAGACTTATTTAGACATAAGGTTTTTATTAATGTTTGTTTTAAATGTTTGTTTATTTTTAAGAGAGAGACAGAGACAGAAACAGAGCATGAACAGGGGAGAGGCAAAGAGAGGGAGGCATAGAATCTGAAGCAGGCTCCTGGCTCTGAGCTGTCAGCACAGAGCCCGGTGCAGGGTTCGAACTTGTGAACTGCGAGATCATGACCTGAGCCAAAGTCAGATGCTTAACCGACTGAGCCACCCAGGTGCCCCTAGACACAGGACTTTTGAAAACTTTAAGCACACTCGGCATCCATAAAATGGAAAACGTTAAGCAAAATTTATTGGCTGATTTTTCCTAAAATTTCTTCACTTTTAGAGCCCAATTCTTCTGAATCACTTTCTGACTCAGAGTTGTCAGTGTCTGTGGTTTTTCCACATAGTTCTTCTTAAAAATAACTCTGGGAATTCAGATTTGGAGTTTTAAAAGAAAAATATTTTCTCTGCTTATTTAATATGAACCCTCATCAATAAATCCACAAACATTGTTCTCAGAAAGTAAATAAATTACCTGCTGAAAGCTGACAAAATTTATCTGTCTAGCTAACCAAAATGAGACAGTCTAAGACAAAAACTGCATATTATCAGGTAAGTGACTAGGGAGTAGATGGGGAGTTTCTATGATTGATGAGGGGTAGGTTTGGAGCTAGTAATGATGTACAGATGTATAGCCTCAATTTTCAGGGTCAGCTCAGCTCTAGATGGTTGGGTTTTAATCTGTAGAAAGAAAGGAAGAGAGAAGAAAATCAGGAGAAAGCCAAGACCTACTATTTCTTAAACCTTTATCCCTGTGCTTTGATTTGGAAACAGCCTAAGCTTGTTAAGATCCTATCAATACTTACGCAGTCCCCTTTGCCTACTACCAAAAGGACAGAAATAGCTTTAACTACCAATTTACCTGATAAGGTAAACATTTTGTACTTCCTTATTGTACCTCTCTGTTAAATATCCAGAAATAGCATGTTTACTATCAGTCTTTCAAGGTGTACAACTGCACCCCGATCAAAAAGGTAAACTTCTATATCGCTGGAACCATGGAAGGTTAAATGCATGGGTGTATGACGGGAAAGGAATCTGTATTGTTTTAGAAATATACAAAATCAATGTAGCAGTGTTGTGATATGATGGTAATACTGGTTGATATGTTTTTGAAAAGTTACCATTTCAACTCTTTTTTTTTTTTTTTTCATTTTAACTCTTAAAATGACTTTATTCCGTTCGTGATTCGTTAGCCATTTTGATTTTCATCCCCATATTTGTTAGTGGAGAATTTTGAATCCCCAAATTGTCACGTGAGTCAAAAATACAAATCAGTGTTTCCAAAGAGTTTAACTATTTCAGAGGGATCCCCTGATGAGTTCAAATTGCACTGTGCAGAGCATTCTTCAGGGTATGAATATAAGTAAGACCACCTAATACTGAAGGCACTCTGTTGGCTACTAGCTGATAATTATTGCTACCATTTCTTTCTCTGGAAGAAATTTCAGGCAGCCTTTTGGTTTAATTCCTGGCTAATTTTTTTTTTTTTTGTAAGTGATCTCTACACCCAATGTGGGGGCTCAAAGTCATGATCCCAAGATCAAGAATCACACGGTCTACGGACTGAGCCCGCCAGGCACCCCAACTCATGGCTAATGTAACCGGTGAAATAATGTTGCAGAATTAATCCATCCAGCAGCCAGTTATTGAATTCTGAGTCTACGCGAGAGTGGCACGGTTCAATGCAACAAGCCACCGGCTACTTGTCGCTGTTGAGCGCTTGTAAGACAGCTAGGGCTGCATTTTTAACTTACTTATTTTCAGTTCATTTGAAGTTAAGCATTGGCCCTCAATTCGGTTACTGGAAAACTTTTAAGTATGTTTGGAACACAATTTGGGTGTGCAAATCTGCTTTTTCAACCCTAAAGTTTATGAGATGCCCCTACGGTCCAAACATTTACAGTAAGCATTCAGCATCCATACTGAGCTGTACCGTAAGTATGAAACACACACTGGATTTTGAAGACACAGGGCAAAAAACACTAAAATATTTTATACTGATTGCACACTGAAATGGTACTGTTTTTTTCCTACTTGAAGTTAAATAAAATACATTCTTACAATTAATTTCACCTGTTGCATTTCACCTTTTGACAGTCTGGTTCTTAGTGTCAACACAGACTTCTCCTCCTTTCATAGAATTGGATGATCTCCTGCTGGTCGAACTTTCCATCTATTTCCCAATGCATTTATTACAGTTTGGACGTAGGCTAAAGAAAGGGGAGTAGATCACTTATATGTTGCCGCTCAACAAATGACCCCACAACTTGGCAGCTTAAAACAATGAGCGATTGTTATGTCACGGCTCCCATGGGTCAGGAATCTGGCCGTGGCCTCATGGGTTCCTCTGGCTCAGTCTCCCCTGGACTGCAGTCAAAGCCACGGTTGCAGACATCCCAAGGCTCGACTGGGGACGATCACGTTCTAAACTCACATTCTGTGGCTGTTGTCAGACCTCACGTCCTCACTGGCTATTGACCAGAGACGTTAGATTTCTCCACCAGGACCTCTCCGTGAGGAAGCCCTCCTTATATGGCAGGGAACTTCCCTCAGAGCAAATGGGCGAGAGAAGATTGAGAACAAGCAAGATAGAAGCCTCCATCTTTTTATGACCTAATCTCGAAAATGGCATCTTGTCATTTTTGCCCATTGTCTATGCGTTAGCAGGTGAGTCATCGGGTCCAGCCTACGCTCAGGAGAGGTTGGTTACAACACAAAGGCTTGGATGCCAGGAGGTGGGATCCTTAGACCATCTTGAAGTTTAACCAACATTGTCTTTAAAGGGACTCTTTTTAAGTTGTTAGCCATAAACCTGGAAATGTAATCAAATGTTTTTGAAATATATGCGATATAGGTCTCATATATATCATATACATAGTAACCCTGACGATATTTGGTTACTGCTTGCTGGAATGCTAGGATTTTTAGGATTTTGCTCATCATTTATTAGGGGGAAAAAATCCAAAATATGAAATACAGTCCATCCCTTAAAATCATAGTAACATCATTAAAATTCTCAGAACTTATATATTTAAAAATCCATAACCGGAACTGCTCAGGAATGGTTTTGTGCATGGTTAGTCCCCCTTAGAGACTTTTCCGTGTTACTGTCGAGGTGAAAGTATTCCCGACGCTTTTCCATAGCATAAAAACAAGCGTTGCTCTGAGAGTGGCACTCAATTCCCATTTCAAATTAAAGTCCTCATATGAAATGGATACCCCTCCTTTCATTTAACTAACTTCTCTCACTATACCCCGGCAGGTGTTTTCCACTGCGACCGGACTCATCCACTGATACCTCCCTACAGGGCCGTGACATGGCAATCATCCTGATTGATAACAGATCTTTCATTTTGGCAAGCCACATGCCTCCTTCTCCTTAAAAAAAAAAAAAAAAAAAAAAAAAAAAAAAAAAAAAAAAAAAAAAAAAAAAAAAAAAAACAAAAAAAAAAAAAAAAAAAAAAAAAAAAAAAAAAAAAAAAAAAAAAAAATCCACTAAAATTCACCTTCCAGGCAGAACCCCAGGAGATTTTTTAATCACACCAACTGAATTAGACAAGAATTAAGGTGCAGACCATGGAGGGGTGGGGAGTTGCTATTAGACCAGTATGTTGACATTAAGATTTCAGAGGATCTCAAGGTGTAACCACAGAAATGGGCTGATAAATTGTGATCAAAGTTGTTGACAGCAAGGGTGTCTTTTCTTGGGGGGCGGAGTTAGATGGGTATATATCATAACAATGGTTGGGTGAAGGGGTGCAAATGAATGAGGAGAGTGACAAGATTGGGTGGGGAAAAGGGGGGGAACATCCCCTCAACTTCACTCAGGGAAGAGAAAGCTGGACAAGAGACTGCAGTTAAAAAGGGGTGGCAGTGACTAAGAGGAAGTGGTAATATACTGGATTTTCATTTCTAACAAAACCAAACCTGACTTGATGATCAGCCACATAACAGAACGGCCTGTGTGAATTATTCTGGAAGGTGTACCCAAGGCTCTCACCTTCTGATGCCAAATCTATAACCTGTGACCCTAGATGTATATCACGGTCAGACCGAGTTTCTCTCTCTCTCTCTCTTAGTTTTAGAGAGAGAGAGAGAGAGAGAGAGCAAGCAGGGGAGAGAGGTAGCAGGAAAGGAGGAGAGAATCTTGGTGTCAGATTCAATCCCACAACCGTGGGATCATGACCTGAGCTGAAATCAAGAGTCCGTAACTCAACCTACTGAGCCACCCAGGTGCCCTTCAGACTGAGCCTCTCTTAGAGAAGTAAACATGCAATGCTGAAAAGATATAAAAATAAGTTTTTAGATGATAAGAAAAATGACTCCAAATTGCAATGTTTAATATTTTTGTGCCCGTATTATAAAAGTTTTGTAATCACTGTTACAGTTTCTATGTTTTATTCATGATTTGAGATGCTGGACGTATTTAAGAGAACCTGACACATTAGATTTATGTTCTTTGTATGTTAACTAACTAACATTTAAATAAAAATTTGAAAAGAAAAAGATTTATGTTTTTAAGTGAAATACTTAGAAATATTTACCTAATTAAATTTATAATCAGTATTTAGGCACTTAAGGGAATCTGATTATTAAATCTACAAGTTTTACCTCATTATTCAGGCAAATACTCCTTAAATGTTGAGAAAGTTTGATTACATTTTAGCAGGTAAAGGATAAATATACTAAATGTGTGACAGTTTGAAATGTCTAAGAAAATTTGGCAAACACGTTAAGTGTTTAGGGAAATTTAATAAGAAATTTATAATTAATAATTTAAATTTATAAGGTGATTGAGTATTAACCAATAAAAAGCAAAAATGAGTGTTTTAAATTTCAAGACAAACTATGTTAGATTTAGAAATAAGATGTCTAAGTTAAACTCAAAAGCTTCAAAAAACTAAGTTCAAAAATTTGTGACCATTACTTAATATTTTCTTTTCTTTCTTTTTTTTTTTTTTAAAGAAACCTCTATACCCAACATGGGGCTCGAACTCACAACTCTGAGATCAAGAGTGGCCTGCTCTACTGACTGAGCCACCCAGGCGCCCCAAGACTTTATTTTTAAGTAATCTTTACACCCAATGTCAAGCTCGAACTCACAACCCCAGGGTCAAGAGTCTCATGCTCCATCAGTCTGAACCAGCCAGGCAGGATGATCCTCTTTTTAAAAGGATTTTTTAGGGGCGCCTGGGTGGCTCAGTCAGTTAAGTGTCTGACTTCGGCTCAGGTCATGATCTCATGGCTCCTGAGTCTTAGCCCTGCCTCAAGCTCTCTGCTGTTAATATGGAGCCCACTTTGGATCCTCTCCCCTACTTCTGCTCTTTCTCTCTCAAAACTAAATAAACATTAAAAAAAAGTGTTTTTTAAAAATCTCTGTATACAAAAACCCACAAAAAATCTACATATACAGGAGCGCCTGGCTGGCTCAGTCTCCAGTGCATGTGACTCTTGATCTCAGGGGTCATGAGTTGGAGCCCCACACGGGGGTAGAGTTTACTCAACAACAACAAAAATCTATGTACATATACACACGCAGAAGAAAACCTGGATAGACTAACATCAAATTCATAATAGTCACTAGGTAGTCGATAGTGTGTATGAATGTGTACTTTACCTTTTTTTTTTTTTTTTTTTTTTTGCTTAGACATGTATACTCCTAGAAATAGAATATTCTT